ATAGAATGGTGTGATCACCACCTCCAATCCTCCCAAGGGCGGGGGGTGGGGGGGGAAATTTGTGGGATTTAAATTCAACATCTTTTAAGGTCCCCAGGGTTGAGAAACACTGCTCTTGTGGCTTATTTAGTTTAGTTTCATTCATAGTTGAATTTAGTTTAGCTAATCTCCCATGTTTCCACATTTTACCATACCCAACAAATACCAAAATACATCCAAAATAATCACAAGATGGGATTAAAAAGCCAGCTTAAAAATTGTAGGGAAATGACCCAGTCAAAAGGAAAAAGCAAGATCAAAATGAATGGCAGTGGAGAGAAAAAAGAATGAACTCGAATCTCACTGCTAGCGTGGATTGTTTCGCACATCAGTTGCACATCTTTAAAAACACAGTTATGAGATCTTGTGGGAGTCTTCTCACTATGTCATTCATGTCACTTCTCAACCCAGACCTTGTTTCTGATGATCATTTTCCAGATGGCAAGCTTGATTTCATTATTCCTCAGGGTGTATATCATGGGGTTCATCAGTGGGAAGACTACAGTGTGGAAGATGGCCACCACTTTATCTAGTGGGAAGGCTTGGAAAGGTCGGCAGTACATATAGATGGCAGGAGCAAACATGATGAAAACAATGATGATGTGGGTGACACAAGTGGAGGCTGTTTTGCTCTTTCCTTTTTTGGCACTGGACTTCACCTTGGCCAGCAGAGCCCCATAGGAGATGAGGAGAAGAATGAAGCACATCAAGGTAGCCAAGCCACTGTTGAAGAACATGACAAACTCTAAAGTGTAGGTGTCAGTGCAAGCCAGCTTGATGATCTGGTTGATGTCACAGAAGAAGTTGTCAAGTTTGTTTGGGCCACAGAATGGAAGGTGTATAATGGGGATGAACTGGATCAAAGAATGGACCAAGCCAAGAAGCCACACAGTAGCAACCAGGCCCAGGCAGACGCCTTTGCTCACAACATTGCCATAACGAAGAGGATGGCAGATAGCCACATAGCGGTCAAATGCCATGCCTATCAGGAGGAGGAATTCAGCTGCTCCCAACCAGTGAAGGAAAAAAATCTGGGACATGCAGCCCCAGTAGGAGATGGCTTTCCGACGAGAGTATAGGTCAGCCAGCATTTTGGGTGGGGTGACTGAACAGTAGCACAGGTCTAAGAAAGCTAGGTTGCCCAAGAAGAAGAACATGGGGGACCCCAGGCGAGGGTTGCTCCATATGGTCACAATGATGAGGATGTTCACAGGCAAGATGAGGGAGTCAAAGACAAGGAATAAGACAAAGAGGAAGAGTTGGATCTCCCTTCTCTGTGAGAGACCCAACAATACAAACTCTTTCACCCTCATGGTGGCATTCCCACGCTCCATTTTGCCCAGGTGATCTCCTGCAATGGAAGAAGAGGGAGGACTAAAAACTCAGCTTTAAATCACTGAGAAATCACTGACAAGCTACAGCTTCAAAAGCTTTGTGTCTTCATTTTCTTATCTCCAGACCTCACTGCTATCATCACCCATTTCCCAGTTAGTTGGCAGGAAGCTATATTTTTGTTTTCTTTCTTTGTGTTCCTAGACTGGAGGAAGGCAAGAGAGTTTTGAAGAGCTGAACCTACACTGAGAAAGAAGTTTCGATTTTTGTTTTTGTCATATTTACTCCCCCAACCAAGCAAAGGGTTAAGGGCATTGTATTCCAACATGCCTGGAGGGTTTCAGATAGCTGAAAGTTTTCAATGTTGGTCTGGTATCTCTACTTTTGGTGGTCTTCTGTCATCCTTCCTCCCTTTATCATTGTCTATAACACTGTCTATGCATACCCACTTTGCCATTTCAAATTAATTTACATTGACAAGGTGAATCTGGTAAATATTAGGGCTGGAGGCTGCTTCAGATTTGAAGGAAAAATATGCTTTGAAGCTTGCATACGTCTCTTTTCCATGATTGCACTTCAAGGCACCTTTTCCCCTTCAAATCCTCCCTGCACACTGTGCATCCTTCTTAAATATGCCTTGAGTACTATTTAATAAACATCCTTCTCCCAATCATCTAAAAGAGTAATTTGGAGGAGCTCTGGAATTTTGCCTGTCCTCCTGGAAGTAGAAGAGATGCTCTTACTGATTCCACCATTCTTTCATTAACAGGGTTGATTTTCAGGTAAGAAAAAAAAAAATGAAAAAAGGAGGAGGAAAATACAGGTAGAAGT